CAAAAATGATTCATTTTAAGCACTATAAAGAAGTATAAATACTTTTCTGACATGTAAGTATAGATTTTAAAGATATGGGACTGTTTATTTTCACATAAGTCAATATGTTTCTCTAGAACAAAATATTTCATTTAGTAAAGCTTTGTAAATTGTATTAAAAAGAAGCAAGGAAACATTTTTTAACATAAAACAGAAGTGACTTCATTCTTTTTTGACATCAGAGATATTCAAAGTTGATTCCTAGTATTTGTACTTTTTGCAACAAATGGTAAATATCACAAGTTACCATGTGTGAAATGTAGACTGTCATGTTTGATAAGGCTCTACAGTGATACACCATGTTTGTCTTCAGGCATTTCACCAGTTTATACACAACAGCAATTTTCGACCTTGTGTCATCACATGGCATACATAAACTAATTGCTAAAATTCTACGGCACACCAAAAAATACATTTTTTTGCTGACCTGGTTTAAAAAAAAAAGTATAATTTTGATTCACAACCAACAACTATTGTGTTGGCTGTTGTCATTTTTTTCATTTGACAATTTAAGGGAAAAGAGGTCAGTGCCCCTGACCAAATAGTCAAGTATTTCATGTTTTAAAAATTCTTGCGACACACTGGGTGAAGATCGCTGATATACAATATTAACAAGTGGAATATGTGTTTCTTTCTAGAACATTTTCTTTGTACTGTGAAGGCTTTGTTATTCCTTATTTGCTATAAAGTTGTATACCCTCTGAAATAGATCAACTCTTTTCTACTTTGACTTAGCATTCGCAGCATAATTATGTTTCTTTCCTGCTCCCTTCCAAGGGCTGTCAGTCACTTGAAATTGTTGCTAACCATGCTCTTGAATCAGTTTCCACTGATGATACAAAATTCCTTACCAATGCTTTATAACAGTTACCAAAACTCTGCAGCAGCCAGAGCATGATATATCATTAATAGATGCTGCAATAAAATGTTTAGTCTATAAAATTAGGGACACAGTGTTTCATTATTATAGCACAATGTGTGTGCATGTGCACACACAGCTTTGTATGTTTGTTTTTTTAACAAAGTCTTTCCAATTCTTAAAAGTACTGTAGTATGGTAGTGCCTCAAATGTTGGTAATTTTTTTTTTTAATTTACGACTTTTTCAGAATTTGTTTTTGTACTTTCAAGGTTTCTCAATTAGATTATTTCTAGTTGAGCTGTAATTTGAATGCATTGTTCTCAGGGCTGTTTGTGCTAAGAGTTCAAGTTTTGTTATTTTAAAGATAACTGCCTAAAAATATATTGCAGAATTTTCCCAAATTGCAATACATACAAATAAAAAAATCCTTAATATCAACATACTTAAACTACATGCTAAGTATTCAAGAAAAAATGGGGACATTAGTGACAACTATACTGGAATTTTGCCATATATATATATACACACACACACACTTTTTTGTTCATTTTAGAGTATAGTTTGATAGTCTTATCTTAGAACCCTATCCTTAATGATATATCTGAAAACATTTCTTTAGCATGGACCCCAAAGGTAGTTTCAGTCAAACATTGATGTAGTTAGTGGTTCTCAAACATATTTAGGGACAACAGATCAAAATTCATAACGCTTGTTTAGGTACACATTAAAATGTTTACATACTGAATTCTATTATATGAACTAGGAACAGATTTACTAGGAGAAAATATGGCTCTTAGAAGTGTAAGAGCAAACTATAGGTATATTTCCATAATTAGTACATTAAACTTCCAATGGCTTAAAATTTCCTATCATTTAGGCATAATATTTCACAGTTTTCAAGACATTTTTCTCCTAGCATTCAGACAAGTAGTAGGCAACAAAGCCGAAAGAAAATTTATTGTGGAAAACTTTTAAATTGAGAAAATGCAATTTATTACCTTTAATCTATTAAATTTTTTCTTTCTGAATTGGGTATCATTATTTGATTTTAGCAGGGAACATTTGGATTTAGCTTACGGAACACAGATGTTCTGTGGGAAGGAACATGACTTGAAGTTATTATATAATTTAATATTTTTCCATTAGATAAATATCTGAACATCAATTTAACCACCAAGTGAAGTCAAGTGCCTGAAAAGTGCTGTATACATCTAATTCGTACATTTTCCTTCTGTGAATGATGCATCTAATAGCAATGCATATCAGGCTTCCACCTGCTAGAAACACACTTAGTGCCAAACTTGATCATCCACCACTATTCCTCTCCTCAGAACAGGTTGAAACCTATTTACAATTGAAAGAAATGTTCTTTTATTTATATGAAGTCCCTAAAACTATTTCTTAGTATTGGTAGACAGGTTTGTTTTAGTTCAAGAGTGCACTTTTAAAAAACTCTGGATACTAAACTGTGTTCAGTGCTGACTACACAGCTTGTCGTAAGTCATAGTTGTGATCTTTCATGAGAGGAATTCTTTATTGTTAATATCTACTACAAATAAGCATTCATCCTTGTTACAAAGTGTAATGCAAATTACTGATTCTACACTAGTATTATGAAAATGACTAGCTCTATACTCTATGTACTGTTGTCCTCCTCTCCAAATAGGAGATAGTTGAAATAGTATTGTCTAATGGCACTTTATTAGTAATACATTTTATTTGTCTTAGGAGTAGGAGAACTCTTGTTTTTACTCATGTTTTAGCTAAAACTTTAAAATTGTAAGAAATGTAGAATGGGTATTATAATTGTGCATTTTACATTTCAAAAAGGGTAAAATTTAAATGTTAAGTCTTTGGTTATACTAAAATAATTGTTGAAATTCTTTAAAATGTAGATGAAACTTACCAATTATAATTCTTTGTTACATTAAAATATATTTGTTAACTTCATCGGTTATATTAAATAAAAATAAAGTTAACAGCTTGCACTATTCTTGTATATATACATTTCTAAAAGAAATTTCATACTAGAAAATTGTGTGAATTAATTGTGTGAATATCACTGTTAAAAGAAAGTCTAACTTTTGTATTTATTGTGTTTTTATATTCTAGGTTCTTACTAGAGAGTGGTCCAGATTTATGGCCTGAATGTTAATTTCTAAATTTTAGTTCCAGATTTAGGTACAATGTTTTTATTTTTAAATTTTTAGTAGCTTTTAAAATATGTAGATAGCCACATGGTTCAAAATTCTACAGGTATGAAATTCTACAGGTATATCATCTTCATCTTCCTGTGCATTCTTCCAGACATGAATGCAAGACAGGTTAATGGTCCCTCCCCTACCCCTGACCTCCCAAGGTCTGAGCTGTTCCTGCCCTGCCAGGGTTGCTATTCTTTTTCTACAGTAATATGAATGGTGTGATGAGACCCTGAAGCAGGCCCTTCACTGTTTTTCCAATCCTCACCATATCAAATC